TTTTTATTTTGACTTTATTGTATAGTGGAATACCAATGTGATCACGCTGTATCAACAAAAGACACTGGCAACAATATATGTAGTGATTTTTAGTGGTAAGTGGTGTTTGTAAGAGACTCTGAGAAAGTTGTTACATTAAAGCAAATGATCAATAAGGAGGGTCTCAACTAGGATCCATAGGAATGGAAAGAGGGAGTGAGAAATACTAAAGACACTAAAGTCAAAGCAAAAAGTTTTGCTGATGGACAGGTTATTGAGGCTGTGGTAGAGAGAGGAGTCAAGGTTGACAACAAAGATTTAAATCAGAATAGATGGGGAAATAATGTAATTAATGGAATAGATCATTCAGGTTAGGAAGAGGAACATAATGTTTGAAACTTGAAGATTTTGAAGTTGTGGCAGGAATCTGAGTGAGTTGTCTAGCAGATTCTTGAAAGTTGAAGCTTGGGTGAGGGTTTGGAACTGAAGGTGCTAATTTGGTGGTCATGTTCAAGGAAGTGAGACTTGGATTCTTGTTAGTTCACAGTCATCAAGCTGTAGAGTTGAGAGAGCAATGTGAAAATAGCCAAAGACATAACAAGGGGAGTTGCTTGAGAATGAGAGAAGTGACAGAGTCCCCACTCACTGTTGAAAAGCAGAGGACATTTAAACATTGCTAAGTGCTAGTTGCTAAATGTAATTAGGAATTATTATTTGCCTTTGAGTGAGCAATTAACTAGAAAGATAGAAGAAATGATCATGGCAATGAAGAGAGATATTTTTCTAATAAGAGAACAAAGACAATTTTGGCTTGAAAGAAAGGAATATTATTTCAATCTTCTTGATAATATAAAGGTAATGTTAGGGTCATATCTTAAGTGAGAGGACTTGGTATGAGTTCTTGTGGATTTGATGAGAAAGAATTAGAATAATGACTATGAAAACATAAGATAGACAGTCAACAAGAAATTAATGAAAGCAGGGTCTAGGAACTAGCTGAGGTGAGAAAGAAATCTGGAGGGAACCCAATCCTTAATAGGCTTCTGGCAGTGCCCCATAAGGCAGCTTCAGATAATCAGATGTTGCTTAGGATGCATTACCACATTTGTGTCTGACCTCCTGTTTACTTTCAACTCCATGTTTTAAAGTTCTTGAATCAGTAGCCTGCCTTCTGTCTCATCCCCTGGCTCCTCTTGAATTTGTTATTGATTCTGCTTCTCTTTGGTTTTTCATACCTAAGAACTCTTTCATGGTTCCTTTGTCCAGTGGCCCCTCTATAGCTCATGAGAATTCTCAGCTACAGCTCCTGGCCCCAGAGATTCCTAATGACTCTGTCCATGGTGGAGGTAGTGAGGTGTGGAGGTAATTTGGGTAAGAGAAAAACCTTGAGCAAAGAGATGAAGACCTTGTAAATTTAGTCGTTTCTGGTGCTGATAACAAGATCAGGGAGCATATAAATAAAAGCTGTGAGCTTTGAAAGAATAGAGATTGATCAGTGTTGCAAGATGTAAGCTTGGAGAGAATCTCATAAGCAGCCAGTGGGAACAAGGAGGATATGTTTGAAAAGCACGGTTTGAACATTTCCCCAAGGAATGATGAACTCTGCATAAAGCTGACTTTTGATGAAGGAGAAACAGTAGCTAGACCATTTGGAGAAATATGGAGAATATGGAAAAAGAATTTTATAGGACAAGATGGACTATAGTTCATAATATGGCGTCAATATTATATTTTCTGAATTTACCACTTCTACTGTGCTATATTTTTTCAAATTTCTACTGATGAAATTAAACTGAACAAATACTAATTGAAAATTGTAAAATTGTAAGATATTATGGAAGATTATCTGTCCTATAAGATATAGTTAAACATATTTTATAATAATTCAGAGTTCCCTTTTGTCTGAATCACCAAATAAAATGAATTTTAGAAAAGACAAATATTTAGAGTCATGTTTGGCATTGAGCGTAGAAAAGGATTTACTTTAGAGAACAGAATATAAAATATAATATTGATGTGCAGTTCAAACTGTATTAGTATTACTATTGATCATAACATTAGGTTGGTGCTAAAGTAATTGTGGGTTTTGACATTATTTTCAATGGCAAAACCCACAATTACTTTAGCACCAACCTAATAGTGCTAGTTACTAAGATACTTAATCTTACATTAGTGTCACTACCTACTCCATTCAATTTGTCAGGCTGCTAAGAGTTGGCAAGAAATTGCAAGCAGAACATAACAAATAAGCTTTGAATTTGAAAAATATTTTCTCTTACAAACAAGTTCAATCCATATGAAGAAGCATTAAAATAAATTAATCTGAATAAAAGAGGATATGTAAATCAAATGCCATATAGGGATAAACAACTTTAAATAACCACTATCTAATCTGTAATTTTAAAAAAAAGAAGAACAACAGCAAAATAAAAACATAAGGTGTCACTGGCTTTTTTTCTAAAAACGCATATACTGTTGTTTAATGTTTTGCTATATACTGGCAGGAAAGAAATACATTTCTTCACTGTGCACTGATTGTCTTTTATCTAATAAATACTCCATCTAAGTTAACTTACAATGCTAATTGTGAATAAACTTTATTGAAATAATTTACATCAATAAACCATATTTATTTAAAATGTCAGTGGATGAGTTTTGCCAGATGTGAAACTACATACTACCAAAGTCAACACAGAGAACACCCTTCCACCCACCAAAGTTTTGCTCATGCCTCTTTGCTGACTGTGCTAAAACATAAAACAAAGAATAATCAGTCTGCATTACTAGTAATTGTTGTATCAAATATATAGGGATTTTGCTGTCCTTTAAAAAAAAAA